GAGCGAGGCGTGTTTCCTCCCAGGCTGGCTGTGGCTCCACTTGAGTAGATCATGACTCGGCATGCTTTCTCTCGCTCTTTCTCATCCCTACCCCAATGCAGGTGCCCGGCAGAGGCATGGCTGCCCAGTCATTTGTCTGCATTTGCATCACCCCTGACCCGGGGGATGGACCACATCGGGAGTTGGGAGGAACTAAATGGTTCCTCTCGTGTGGATTTCATCATGAAACAGATGCTCTTTTTGGGGAGACAATGTCTGTGCCTGTCCGTGAGATGGGAACAGCTGTCAAACCAGAGGTGTTTGAGACATGTGAGTGGGGGCGCCGGCTTTAGGGAAGCAGCTGGCTTACAGCCACCATGTTTTTATAGAGGTAACAGGCCCAGGAGCAGCCACGGCCCTTTATGGCGCTCTATCAGTGTCTCCTCCACCAGCCAGGTGCGGCGGGCAGACTGAGACTCTGAGAGCAGGGGTCCTGGGGTATTAGCGATGTGTGCCCTGGCTGCTCCTTGGGGCTCCTGGGGGAGTGGGATGGGCTGAGTGGTAGGAAGGACGGAGGCAGGAAATGTGCCGGTGCCTCACGGGTTTCACTCGGGATCTCAGAGACTCCCAGCCCCACGAGACGAGTGGGAAGGAGCTCCGGAAGTTAGGGCGCACGACCCAATCTGACCGGGCCAGTGGGCTGTCCAGTGGGTGTAGTGGACAGGCCAGAATGGAGGGGCAGCAGCTGAGGCCACAGGGGGGCCTACTCCCAGCACGGTAGGCCCTGCTGATGGTTCAGGGCAAGCCAGGGAGAAGGTGTGGGACCTTCAGAGGTAATAGCTGCCAATCACCTTGGAGGTCCCCAGGGCCTTTTGGCTTCTAAACCTGCTGCCACCAGCCAGGGAGCTCTGGCAGCCCTCTGCTCACTGCCTCTCCTCTGTGCTGGGAGCCCCCACAGGGCCAGAGGGGGGTCGGCAGGAGACCACCTTGGAGCCTGTAGGCCTGTGGACAGATGCGCCCAGGCTCCGTTCTGTATGGTTTGGTGGACCAGGGTAAAGGCCTACCTGACCCCCAAGATCTTTCTTGGTGCTGGGAGCTGCCCAGTGGGGGCCAGTCCGTAGCATGCCCTGCTGCTCTGCAGGCCTGGGGGCCCCCTGAGCTGCAGCACCATTCCCTTGAGGAGATGGCGCTCCATTACCCTAGGGGAGGTTCCACCCTGTGTGAATTTCTCTGTTAATTTCGAGCTTCAAACTGGCTCGTTCTGGTCCTACCTTCTGCCAGACACTTGCCTGTCCACCCCAGATGTACTGAATCAGAGGCCGCATTTTAACAGCAAGAATCACCCTGGGTCTTGTTAAACCATTGATTCAGGGGCTGAGTTAGTTAATTGTGCCAACCTGGCCAATAATCACATGTGGGGCTAATTGAAAGGCGGAGGGATAAATGGGTGGTGAGCCTCGCCTTTCGTGTTCTTGGGTCTCTTGCTTTGTGATGGTCGCAACGGGTGCAGCTGCCTTAGCAGTTCCCTGCTTCAGCTTGCAAGATTGACTTCCTACAAGACATCCCCAAGGAGAAGCCACATGGACCTATCCCGATGCAGCCCTGGAGCAGTCTTGTGGAGACCCCTGCTAGTGCTGAGATGCTTATTCGTTCACTGACTCAGCTTTCCTCCTGCAGTCGGCATCATTGCCTCTGTTTTGTGAGGTGGAGAACTTTTGGACTGGTGTTAGGTTAATGTTGGACTTGTGGGCTTGGGCAGCATTGGGTTGGGTTGTTTTCGTGATGCACACTTTCTTTACATAAAACTCTCTTATACATGAATTGCTGTGGATTTGTTTCTCTTAAAGTACCTAGACTAATACTTAATGGTACCTTGAGAGTGGGGTACTGGAGAAACAAATCATAAGATAGAGAGTAGATGTTTGTTTGACCTCTTCCTCCTGGAAGTTTTCCATCTTTGTCTAGCCAGAGGTCAGATAAAGCCACACTATTTACTTGGTTGCTTTTCTGGGGAAAATATGGGAAGTAGGAAAATAGAAAGTTTGTAAGTCCACTTGCTTCAGTCATTAAAATTTGATCTTTAAATGGGTTTAGGTCATATCTGTAAAACTTTGAAAATATATGTCCCACCCAGTGCTTTGAGTTGCTGTGGATTTGTTTCTCCAAAGTACCCAGACTTATACAAGGGCAGAAAGGCCACTGCTCAGCTGGGTGTGGAACCAGCATAGACCTGGTCTCGCTGGAAGCCCTCAGTAATTAAGCCCATTCTGAACTTCCTTTCTGCCCGAATGATCCATGTGCTTTTCATCTGACTCGGATTGCGTCAAGCAGCTGACGTGACCACCCGAGTCCCCTGGCTTTTTCAGTGTGAATTTTCATGGAGTGTCTGAGAGCATCCCATCCTGAGTGTCCCGTGGTCCCCTGGGTCTGGGGAGTAGCTCTTTGGGGGCTGAGATTCAGGATGTCCAGTCTTTCTCTATGGCTTAGTTGGACAACCCCCCCCCAGGGGGGCACAAATACAGGCTGAATGAGAGCCATTGTGTGTGCTGAAGCTGGTGACTTTAGATCTGATGCCCTCCCCCACTTGGGCCCGATAGTCGGGCAGAGTCTAAAGCAGTAAACTTCAGACTGGATGCCCTTGAACCTGGCATACAGTCAGCATTCAACAGCTACTTGGAGGATGAAGGGGGCAAACAGCCTGGGGAGATGGGTGACACTCACCTGTTTCCTGGGGAAGGCAGCTTTCCCAGGGGTGCCCCTGGAGGCCAGCCTGTAAGAAAGGACACTTCCCAGTGTCCCCTGTGGCCAAGCCAGCAGCTTTTCTCTCAAGTGTGTCCCACCTGGTTTCCCAGGGGCACTCCTCTTGTTGGGCGTCGGTGATGACTCTGTCCATTGGAGGCTGCTCAGAAGAACGCCACAACGTCTGTCCACAGTGGCCACTGGTTTGGGACTGGACTGGTCGCCACCCAGCTCACTCTGGCGGTGGCTCAGTCTAGCCTCTCTCGGGGCGAGGAAGGAGTGATGTGGGGAGACAGGAGGGTGAGCAGGTAGAATGCCCCCATCTCCATTCCCTGCCCCAGCCTTCCTTTCTTGAGCTGAGAAAGTGGACTTGGTTTGGGGGCTGGGGGGACCTCTGTTTTCACACCCTGCT